AATAAAATTTAGGTCTTGAAATTTTTGCAACATTATAATCTAAAGTAACCATATGATGGTCCGAAAATCCATTCGGTAATATATTAGTGTTAGCTACTCTATTTATTTCTGATTTACTTATGTATAACCTATCCAATCTCGCTCCTGTCACAACAGAATCTAATATCCTTATCCATGTATATTGCTTCACCAGACTGTTCCTACTTCTCCACACATCTATCAACTTTAAATTATTTATGATATCAAGTAGTAAGTTACTAGATTTCGGGTGAGGCTCATCCCCATTCCTATCTAATACGAAATGTGTTGTACAATTCCAATCACCTCCTATTACAACACATGTGTTGCCATCATCATGCTGTTTTATTGCATCATTTAACTTTTGGTATGTTATTTCACGCTGCCATCCTATATTCGGAGCATACACACTAACAAAAAGAAATTTAACACTTTTAATTTCAGCTATAACTAATAACACTCTTCCTTTTTCTACCTCTATTGTTGATACAATTTTTAAATCCAACTGTTTTGAGAAGAGAATTGCAACACCCATACTAGCACTTGTTCCATGACTTAATTTACACTCTCCTTCCCACCATCTATACCACTCCAATTCATTATTACTATCAGAGTGTGTTTCTTGTAAAAAAGTTACTTTAACATCATTTAATTTAATAAATTCAGAAACCATTGCTCTTCTGACCCTATCTCTTCCCCCATTGATGTTTAAGGATCCTATTCTTACAAACTCCATAATAATGTTCCAATGGAGGGAGAAAAAAGACAGAGAAAAAAGAAGAAATAGAAACACCTTTAGTGAATTATACATCATTTAAATTTCCTTCTTTTCTGGGTTTTCCCCTCTCTTATTTTCGTGACAAACTTTTTCAAACGAAACCTCTTCCTCCTACTTAATCTATCCACTCCAACTTTTTTCATCCAGTATAATACAGATCTTTCAAATTTCTTGGTATCAGTAAAGTAATCCTTCACTTCCGCCACTTTCCCGAAAGTCTCATCCAGAAAAGCATCTATTTCCTCCAAAGCGTATAACTGGTCACCTCCCATCTGAGATAGATTTGACACATCTGATCCATCTGACAAATCATCATCACTTTCTTCATTCTCAACCATCTCTCCTGAATTCTTACCCTCTGAACTCACTCTCCTTTGATCACTATCAACCAACATCACTTCCTCAACACCTTCCACCCTCTCCACTTGCTCTGTACTCTTCTCAGTTTCCGTCCTCACCATCTCCTCAACCACCTGTCTCTCACCATTAACAATATCTACTACTCTTGACACTTCAATAGTATTAGTCTCCCCCTCAGCCACAACACTGCCTAAATCCTTGTTATTATGTACATTTTGACCCTCATTTTCCACTCTTTCTTCCACAATTTTCTCCACACTACCATTCATATCATTACCTCGACCTGTCTCATTTATCACTTCTTCTCTTTGCGGGCATGCCAATCTTACATGTCCTACAGCACCACATTCAAAGCAGCGCATTTCCCCAGTGTTCGCATACAACATGTACGATTTTCCTTCATAAACAACGAAAAGACACGTTTAAAGTCGGGGCATTCAAAAACATAAACACCTGCCGCCTAAACGACAACACATGCTTCAAAGACTCATGTTTACATCCAAGCGGTACCATCTTGATTCCACTCGCAAATTTTCCATACCTCAAAAGCTCACGCTGTATATCGTCATCCGGAATGAATGGCGGCACATTCGAAATTACTACCTTTACAGTTGGAGATATTAAAGGTTGAACAATCACAAAAGCTCCACTTACCACTATGCCGCTCTCTACCAACCGATTAACCAGTAGTTCCTCTTTCAAAAAAACCACCACGGCCTTATTAATCCGAGACGCGGAAATGATGTTTTCATATCCCACTCGCTCAGCTACATCCAGCAACACATCCTCAACGGTTATACCCACTTGAGTGATGCATCTTATTCCGTGACGAAGCGACAGCGACGGAGCTCGCACATCCTGGTGCGATGCCATCCCTGTACTCGCCACGCGAATACTAAACCCACAACGCGTCAACTAACCTCAAACTAAAAACTGTACTACTAGATTTAATGTAAGATTAATATCAAATTTACTCAATTTTGAAGTTAGAAGAAAAAGCCAATAGAAAAGAGTACCTCTCCGTAAAACCCCTCACCACCCCAAACGCTCCCAGCGTGCACCGAGAGAGAGAGAGAGAGAGAGAGACAGAGACAGAGAGAGAGAGAGAGAGAGAGAGAGAGAGAGAGAGAGAGAGAGAGAGAGAGAGAGAGAGAGATTTATAAACAAACAACTCACCTTGATATTTTTTTATATTTGTTTCAGTAGCAATATAAAATGTTGCACAAGATAAATGATACCAATAATCTAGTGAGATTTCAGCAATCACATAGAAGAAGAGGAAGCTTGCCTTTAGAAGAATCTTAGTGGAATATTTCAATAAAAGTCTATTTCCGCAGAAGTCAC